CTGGACTGCCATTACTGGCTTGGAAAATGGAAGAAGGAGGAGGCCAAGAAGCTGGGAAATGTCCCACTGACCGCTAACAAGGAAACACGCACTTGGTTCCACAAAGAGCTCAGTGTTGTGCTCAGTAACCTGAATGTCCCTGAAGTGTATTCTACTTTGGAGCCCCAGAAAGGAGATGGGTAGTCCTGCCAGCACTCTGACTTTAACCTGGTAAGACTGGGGCAGACAAGTCAAGTCTACTGATCTACCAAACTGCGAAATAACAAATCCACGTTGCGTGAGCCTCTGAATCTGTGGTCATCTGTCAAGGCAGCAACAGAAAACCAATACGGTAGGTGAACTTTGCTCGTGATAATGTTGTTGGTCCAAATGCTTTAATTTTTTTCTAATTTTTTAATGTTTATTTATTTTTGAGAGAGACAGATACAGAGAGTAAGCAGGGGAGGGGCAGAGAGAGAAGGAGACACGGAATCAGAAGCAGGTTCCAGGCTCTGAGCTGTCAGCACAGAGCCCGACACGGGGCTCAAATCCACGAACTGTAAGATCATGACCAGAGTGGAAGTTGGATCCTTAACCAACTGAGCCACCCAGGCATCCTGGTCCAAATGCTTTTAAATAACTGGATCAATGTTCTTTTTAGTTAATCTTTTCTGGTTGTGTTTATCTTTGACTGATGGATGGAAGCTCAATTAAGGCCAAAACAGGTTGAGTAGGATACAGATCAAGTGGTACACTTGATGATATTCCAAGCTTCATATTATAAAAACTTTTCTCTGGTTCATCCCTATGGTTTCCCAGGGAGGCAGGATGTCAGTACATCCTAGCCCCTTTGGCCTTGTTGTTCGTTCTAGGGTAAGTAAGTTACAAAATGGCCAATCCAAGACGATGATTGATGGTTAGAGGGGTGGATATCCACCTCGAGTTCCGTGGGGAAAGAAAAGGAAGCTGACACTTAAGAGAAACAACAAAGCCAGAGATGGGAAGTGAGCCTAAGCCAATTGAGTCCACGGTCCTAGTTATTCCTCAGGTACTTTTCTAAGCTTGATATGGGATAATAAATTACTTTTTTCTTAAGTTAGACAGAAATGTGTTTCTGTCATTTGCAAAAGAAAAGCAACAGTATTGAATACTTCGTTGATTTCTTGCTGATACTGTGATAAATTATTACAAACTGCAAGATCTGAAACACGAATTCACTATGTCACAGTTCCGCTGGTCGGAAGTCCAAGGCAGGTAGGTCTCAGTGGGCTAGAACCAGGGTACCCGTGGGGCTATGCTCCTCTCTGGAGGCTCTAGGACAGAATCCATTTCCCTGTCTTCTTCAGCTTCTCCATCTACATTCTTTGGCTCCGTCCCCTTTCCTCCATCTTCAAAAGCCAAAAACATTACATCTCTCTGCCTTTCCTCCATGGCCCCACCTCCCTCTGACCTCTAATTCCTATTTTAATTTGCTTTCTTTCATTAATGACATTGAGCATCTTTTCATATGTTTATTGACCTTTTCTGTTTTCTCCTTTGTGACCGTAGCTCTTCAAGTCTTTACCCATTTTTCCTTTGGCTTATCATTTTCTTAGATTCTTTCATGAAAGTATTTTGTTTTTGGATATTTCGCTTTTAATATCTTTTAAATGTGTTACACTATCATCTCCTGGTTTGAGCCTATGTTTTTATAATTTTTATGATGTATTTTAAAGTACATTTTTTTAAGTAGGCTTCACACCTAGTGGAACCCGGTGAGGGGCTTGAACCCACGACCGTGAGATCAAGACCTCAATTTAGATCAAGAGTCAGATGCTTAACCGATTGAACCACCCCGGTGCCCCTAAAGTACATGTTTTAATGTAGCTGATTTTGTCAGTTGTTTGTCTTAATTATTGCTTTTGTATATTGTTTAAGAAATCTATCCCTTCCTGAGAGTCATAAAATACTCTGCTATATTTTCTTGAAAAGCTTACAAAATTTGGTTTTCATATTTTGGTATTTAATCGCTCAGTAATTAATTTTGTTTTCTTTTATATAAGGAAGTTGTCCCAGCACATTATCTTGGGTTGGCATTTCCCTATTGCCCTCTAATGCCAGTTCTATCCCATTTCCATTTTCATATGTGACTATGCTTTCGAGCTCTATTCTGTACCATTAATCTGTTTGTCTATCCCTGTGTAAACACCACACCGAATTACTAAAACTTTATCATAAGCTACAATATGTGGTACAGCGGTGCTCTGCAACTTGATCTTTTTCTGCAGGAGGGTGCTGGGTATTTTTGGCCCTTTGCTTATTCATATAAATCTTTCAATGTACTCGTCAAGTTCCAAGGAAACATTGCTGGAATTTGGATTAGAATCACATTACATCTACAGGACAAGTGAGGGAAAACTGATGACTTTTCAACCCAAGGTCTTTCTATTCATGGTATGAAATCTCTCCATTTCTTTTGGTCATCTCTAATGACTTCCTATAGCATTTTTTAAAATATTTATTTATTTTTGAGAGAGAGAGAAAGAGAGAGAAAGAGAGAGAAGAGCGAGCATGAGCATGGGAGGGACAGAGAGAGAGGGAAGCAGGCTCCAGGCTCTAAGCTGTCAGCACAGAACCCGACACGGGGCTCTACCTCACCGACAGCAATATCATGACCCGAGCCAAAGTCAGATGCTCAACTGACTGAGCCACCCAGGCGCCCCTCTCTAGCATTTCTTAATTTTCATTGTAACAGCCTTACTTATCTCGAATTAATTATTATTACTGAGAACACTATATTTTTTAGTGCAAAATTAACTACATTTCTAATTATTGCTTTTTAGATGCACAAAAATGCAAGTGAGACTTGTCTAATAATGAGTCACCGATTATATGCTGTGTCCAGAATACTATGCCAGGCATGGTTCCGACCTCTTTACATGCCCAGTAAGTTCTCTCAACAACTCTATGGAGTTGGATCCTGTTCTCATCATCACTTTTCATGTTAGTTCCTGGGTGTTATGCTTGGGACACAGAGGGGCCCTCCGAGGACCTTTGCAGTTTTGAGACCCCATCTGGGCCGGGTTTCAGCTATACGGAACATCAGCTGTATAGAACATTTCCACTTTACTAGAGAGAACTCCCAAGCTAACCCCTGCCCAGAGATTTGAGGCCACTGACCTCTGACCTTGACATCCTGATTCTGTCCCCTCTGGGGACAGAAGGATCTCAACCTGACCCCTACTCCGCTTTATTTAGAAAGCAAGGAGGTCTGGGTAAAAGTTGGCGAGTCTCCCTAAGTCACCTCCTGGCCCAGTCATAGGGACTGTCAGTGTGGAGACCTTAGAGCACTGCCCGACAGGCCTCCCCTGGCCTGGTACCTGGCCATTTGTTCATTGGTTCGGTTTCATGGGTACCTACATGTGTCAAAACCTATCAACCTGTACACTGTAAATATGTAAAGTTTATTCTGTGTAAATTGTACCTCAATAAAGGTTGCAGATTCTTTTAAATTAGAGGTGGAAATGAGATTAAAACTAAAAGATGCAGCCCTTCTAGTCCCGTGGATTAACTTTCAACCGAGTCTTCTTTGGAAAGTACAGCCCCTAAAATGAATGTGACCTAACAGAGAACGTATTCTAGCTTGATGAATCGTTAAGTAAGAACTATAATATGGATGGTTCATATTACAGTAACTGTGAACTGTGAATCCAAAACAGAAGTCAGGAATAACCAATCATTAAAAAAAAAGGAAGCGAAAATGGCCATCCACAGCTAGTGGTAGTGTAAATGGTAATGAACGGAGGGTTATAAATCCTTACGGCATTCTGGAGACTAATTTGGAAGAAGTCTCAAAATATGCCCAACTTTTATCTTGACAGTACTTTTTAGGAACATTTCTTCTAAAATATGAAGGATGTGAGCAAATATTTAGTATGTTCACATAAGAGTACGGTATACAACATAAATCATTTCAGTTATCTAAATTGTCTAAAAGCAGATCCAATAGAAGAAAATAGAGCCTTAGAATAGGACCCATGAAATTGATGACATAATTATCTTGAGGAAAGTTTACACCAAGTAAGGGTAGGAACAGCTACCAAAGTAGATGATTAACTTGTGCTAATACGTTTCTAAATTTGCATTTGCATACACAGAATAGGGAAGGATATATGTCCCTCCTCGTGATTTTACAGTGCTGATTTAACAGTGGTGATTATGGGTGACCCCGGTTTTCTTTGGGAGTTTTCAACAGCTTCCAAATTGCTACCATAATACAAATTAATTTTTTGAGTCAAAAGAAGACTGCAGGGAGGCCCATTTGTAAGCCAGATGGGCTGGAGACACATGTGAGCACAGGTGATGAACTAGAGGGACTCTGCTCCTGGTGGGTGCTTCCTGCGAAGGTCCCTGCGGGGCAGGGAGAGGCGGGGACGGTGCTTCAGAACGGAGAGGACCACACGGCACAGTCAGAGCTCTGCCTCCGAGCTCAGGCCTGAAGAGTTATGGCAAGAAGATCTGAAGGTGTTGCCTTCGTGAGGGACTGTGCGAGACCACAGGGTGGTCTGTGCGACGCTGGGGGAGAGACACTTCATCTCGGCTGCTTATCTGAGACTGGCTGGCTGCAGGGTTTCCTCTGTGGTGTCGGTCCCTGGCTGTGTGTGCAGCGGAGCTGGACCCTGGCATCTCCACGTGGGCCCGGCAGCGAAGGTGGGCAGAGCTTCGAGGTCACTGAAGGACGGGAAAGCGTACGGAGGGCTGGTTTGGGAACCCTTAACACCCACAAACAGCGAGAGCAGACTGAGAGGAGTGGGCCATTCTCCGATAAGCAGATGTGGGCAGAGTCACTGAGGAAGAGGAGCTCCCCGAACCCTCCAGAATAAGCATGGCCTTCTCAGCCCCAAATATCACACACCCGACGCCTCAGTTTTCCCAGTGACTGGGGAATATTCGGTAAGAACCTTCACACACTTCCCGGGTGCACGCACTTTATTTTGGCATTCAAAGCACCGTACCAATTGGGTCACAAGGAATCTGCGTTAAAGCCAGGTGGGCAGAAGGGAAGAAGTGTGCACACGGGAACCGCCCCTCCTTACGGAGAAGAGAAGCGGCCACAGAACAAGATGCTGTTGGTGCCGTGGTGCATGATGAAGAAAAGGAAAGGGTGGTCTGCACAAAATCTTGGTTCGATTCTGCAGCACCGGGCATTCCTGACCACGGCCGTGGCCGCAGCCGCCTCTGTGCCCTCCTCATTGACCTCTACGAAGCACTTGTGCGCGACCTTGGACACAGGCACATTCTTCTTTGCTGACATTCCCGAAAAGTCTGCCTTGGCTTCCTCAAACGCATCGGTCATACCTAAACCTCGAAGAAAAGACTCCAAGTCGTAACTCTCCGCCAGCTTCAATCGGGGAAGGAAAACCTGAACTTTTTCCTCAGTCATCTTTTCTGGATTTGTCCAGGCTCTGAACTTCTCGTATGTAAGTGTTTCTTCCACCTGAAATATTGAGGAGTCAAATCTTCAAATGTAAACACAACAGCCTGGTGCCCATGTCCCCACTCAGTTCCCCTCCCCAATGCCATGAGTTCTGGCCCAAGACAATCGACAGACATTTTCCTCTTGTAAACACACCAAGATTTCCCCTCAAATGCTCATCTTTTTCCCTGTTCTATGGATATAAGAGGAAAACAGCTAAAACAAAAAAAGAAACACTTGAAACAGGGGAGATGTGTGGGGTTTTTTAACTATCCGTACTAAACTCACTTCAAATATTTTTTCGTTTAGAAAGCTCTCATGACCAATCGATTGTACTCGTGCGATGCACACTACTGTGAACGCGAGAGACGGTCGGACAAAAAAGAGACAGAGCTTGGGTCGGAACTCTGACGGGTCAAAGAGGGGGAAACCGGGGACGATCTGAACAGGAAGGGAGACGTGGCTTCTGGGGAAGGGGAGCGCAGCAACGGAGAATTCAACAAGACCGTTGCTTCTGGCATTCGTGTTTGTCTTCTGGCCTGCCCTGGCGTTCGTTTCCAAACCTCCAGCCTCATCACTCATTCTGTTTGTCCACGATGAAAAAAGAAACAGAGGAGAAGAGAGCGAGACTGGCTGGCTGCAGGGTTTCCTCTGTGGTGTTGGTCCCTGGCTGTGTGTGCAGCGGGGCTGGGCCCTGGCATCTCCACGTGGGCCTGGCAGCGGAGGTGGGCAGAGCTTGTCCCCCTTCTCTTCACCACCTGGAGCCCAGGTGAGTGCCCCTCTCCAGTGATGGCTGTTTGGACATCAGCTCTGTTTCCCAGACTCTCCTAATTTTCTTCTTACGTGGCCACGACAGATCTCATCCGTGACAGACGCCACGGGAATCAGCAAGTGTTAGAAAGGAAGCCTTTCCCCAACCCCAGAGAGCTGGATAACACGCTCACGACTGGTCCCGCACCTCCTTACAAATTGACTTTCTCCCATCCTGAACTGTGTTCCTTTTCTCTCATGGGAAGACGTCCCTCTCCTCCCGGCCAAGGGAAATTCTTCGCCTGTCCTTGAGACACTTGCTACTCAAAGTGCAGTCCTTGACCAGCAGCACTGGGGACATCAGGAATCTTGTTAGAAATGCAAGATCTCAGGCCATACCCCCCCGAGTCAAAATCTGCATTTTAGCAAGATCCCCAGGAGATTCCTATGCACACTAATGTTTGAGAAACACTGCCCAGATCAATCCTCCTCCTTTTCTAGTCCTTTTGTTCAGTAATTATTGGGACCTCTGGGGCGCCTGGGTGGCTCAGTCAGTTGAGCATCCGACTCGTGGTTTCAGCTCAGGTCGTGATCCCAGGGCTGTGGTATCGAGCTCCGCTCTGGGCTCTGCGCTAAGCCCAGAGTCTGCTCGAGATTCTCTCTCTCTCCCTCTGCCCCTCTCCCCTGCTTGCACTCTCTCTCCCTCTAATAAAAAATATTAATTAAAAAAATTAAAAAAAATTATTGAGACCTCAACCAGCCCCTCCCTTCAGAATAGAGAACAGGGCTCTTCTGGAACTCTCTCTTCTTAGCTTCATCAGAATGTGTCCTCACCAACCATTCCATTCCTAGGTAGATACTCAACAGAAATGCCAACACATGTCCACCCAAGACCTGAGATGATGTTCGGCCACTCCTCATAACCCTACACTGGAAATTCCTCAAATGCTATCTGGTCGACGGACATAAAGACATGAGCACCGGCTGCCTGCATGGACCCTCAGGCCCACTGGCAAGGGCTTCCTTACCACGGCGAGATCGGTGTTGTCATCTGGCAGCAGAACGACCAGGCACATCTCCTTCCCCGCGTAGGGCAGCTCCAGGACCTGCATGGGCACCTCGTCCACATAGCCCATTCTAAATTTAGCTTGCTTAAACATCATCTGCACGGTCTTTTTCTCCTAATGAAAATAGGAAATTTAAATCAGACTACTGAAAAAAAGGAGCACAGCTTACCAAAATAAGGGAAATCTAATTTGCAGAACCCCTAGGTACGTATAACAGGATTATGATTTCTGTGCATTATGCTGATAGATGGAAGATCTTCTTTATTACATATTAGTATTGAATACAACACGCTATTGTCCCAGCAGGTCAAATATTACCAGGCGAGAGAGGATAAAATTGGCAAATAGAGAGACAGAAACATAAAACCCTACGTTATTTTTGGAAGAAGCCGTGTTTTTCTCCTCTGGGAAGATGCATTAGAGGAGCACTCCCAGTGACCTTATAATTAAGAATTATTTATCCAAGTTAAGGGGAAGATTAACTAATATTCAGGTTTGGGGGTTGAAGGATGTGGTTAGAAAAGATGTAGAGGCCACAGAGAGTTATATTTTTATTCTGGAAAGTTGCTCACTTATATAATTGGCTTTATGGCTTTGGTTTTCTTGGAGAGGGACCTTGACAAGATTTTCAGTGTCCACCTCTTCTAAAGCTCGCATCAAATGTATTCCAGACTTTCAAATCTGTGTGCAACGTGCTATCACCAAGTTGATGCACGTCAAATTTTCAGCTAATTGCTCCTGACAGCCAGACATTAACGGGCTCAAAAGGGAATACGGCCAAAAAAATTTTTTAAGTTAGACTTTCAGTCTGAAGATCTGATATCCAGCATGATGGCTGCAGTTAATAATACTGTAGGGAATGCTGGAAATTTGCTAAGAGAGTAGATTTCAGGTGCTCTCATCACAGAAATAATACGGTAACCATGTGAGGAAAGTGTATGTTACTTAGCTTGACTGTGGCACTTTTTTCACTATAATGCGTGTATCAAAATCATCTCACACACCGTAAACATATACAATTTTTCTTTTTAAGAAGGTCCAAAAAATAATAAAGACAAACTCAGCCTGAACATCTGCTAACACTCTTTTTTTCTTGTGTTCGGAATTGTATGGCTCTGATTATAAGGCAACACACAGGCATAGTTCTCACTGATATTGCAAGAAGGTGTCTATGTAAATAGAGACAGTGACGGTACAATACAAACATAACTCCAAGGGTCAGAAGAAATTTTCTTTCAATCCAAATTAATATGACCCAAGACAGAAGAATCAGTCTGACAAAGGAGGCAAACACAAAACTGTCAATATAAAAATGATTTCAGCTTTTCTCTTTCCCTGTCCAATAAAAGATACAAGGGGGCATGAAATTCATTCAGAAATATAGTATGAGATACATTATTTTTTTCCATTCAATCACAATCTTTCCCAGCGTATTATTTTAAGTCGTAGTACACCTGAAAATATATTTCCCTACCTGGTTGGTTTTAAAGGGCATTCCCCTTGTGTGCTTTCTGTCAAATTGCTCATTCCACTTTCCTTTGAAATAGATGGCATTCACGAGAACCAGCTTCGTCAGTGGGTCAACTGTCCCAGGACCCAGTATCTCTGAAATCTTACCTGCAAAGAATACGACAGAACTTGATTGCTATTTCGGGGAGAGGGGAGGGGAATAAACATTGTTTCCCACAATCCTCTTGACATACGAAGCCTGGCTTGGTTGACAGTCAGGCTGGAATCCTGTCTTCCTGGCCACCTGAGGAACAGGGCGATGCACTGCAGTGCTGTGCACATACACAGGGTATTGCTCGTCCTTAAACAACAATCTTGAAGCAGGCAGGTCGACTATCGTTTCACCCTCACATTATAGATAGAGAAATTCAGGCCAGAGCATTTGCCTGACATTTGTGCCAAAGACCCATAGGTGGCAAGTGGCTGAGCTGAGAAAATAACCCAAGAGCCCTGAGTCTAACGGTAAGCTTCCCAGCCATGGCGCCATAATTTTTCAACCATGCCGCTACTAGCATGTAAAGCCAGATAATTCTTTGTGGTGGGGAGTGTCCTGTGCATTGTAGGATGTTAAGCCAGATAGCATTAACCCAACTGTAACAACCCAAGTATCTTCAGTCCTTGGCAGATGGTACCCAGGGGCTGATTCTGAGAATCACTGCTCTATGCCAACCTTCAAATCTCATTTAGGTGGGGAGAAGCTTCCAAAGGATGAAGGAATACAGACCTGAAAATGGGTGAAAGCAGTCTTCCTGAAGGCATGCATGGGGTAAAGGAATTAAGGGGTGCAATACAGGGGCCCAAACTGAGTTATCCAATGAGACCGGGGACAAAGTGAACCCCAATGCCCCCTCTGGCTCTGGTATCTGGGGGAAACATATTGATGGTCAATGTGACGAAGAGGAAGTGAGTGGTGTAGGGAGAGTAGTGTATGGAGAACCTTCCAGCTTCCCCTCGTGACCCATTACTGCTGGATCAACTGGAGAGCAAGAGACCACTGCACATACAACGTAGGAAAATGTGAAACGCTCTGCCCTTCCGACGGTCATTATTTCATTGGCTTTCAGTGTAATCATGGCTGCCGCCTCACATGCACTGGGCACACACCAGAAAGACTGAGCTCTGTACTCAGAGCTCTGTGGGCTCCGTGGGGACTGCACCTCCAGAGTCTGCAGTAAAGTGAGAAAAGGTCGCGCTCTGAAAGCAAACTCAGCCACAGCCACATCAGCCAGGGAGGGGAGGAATGCAGAAAAACGAGCTATGCTCACTACCACAGGGAGATCACGTGAAACGTTGCCCTATCTCAGCTGCCACCTACACTGAATGTCACTCTACCCTCAGGGCAAGGCAAGGGTCTCCCCCTCCCCAGAAGGAAGATTAACGGGGCCCCAAGGAGGAAGCAATTTTCGGAAAATTTCCAGCACAGTCCAGCGGGGAGAAGGTCTGAGATCCTTACACTAGGTTCACGTATTTTTTAGCAATCACCACTTCGTGATCTCATAAACCCAAGAAAACTATCAGAATTGCATTGCTGGCCTGGATATCTGGCAAACACACACAAGAAGGTCACTGGTTGTGGGGCCCCCAGGGGGAGGGAGAGGCGGGGCAACACCATGGAGGCCACAACCCCGCCAATCTCGCTCTCTTTCCTGCAAAATGCCAGGTGCACTGTGGTAAAAATCTCTCACCTTCGGTCTTTTCTGTCACCCAGTCGTTTATGTGTCTCCTGCATTCTTCGGTGTCCTCTGCGAAGGACAACTCCTCCAGTTGTGCCTGGTAGAACTTCTCGCAGGACTCCCTAAAGGCCTGCAAACACAGGACACCACGTTCACCCTGTTCAGCAAAGTGCCCACGAGTGTGAACGCATTTTTTCCTCTTAGCATATTTCCAGCATAAATTCCTGCACGGGCCGCCCTGCATCTTAAGACTCGTTCACGCAGCTGACAAAAATGTGTGGACCACCGGCTCCGTGCCTCACCCTGTGCCAGCTGGCGGACATCAGGGGAAAGACAAGACATCGGACCTGAGGCGGCTCACAGTCGGCTGGGAGAAACCACATCCACACAAAGACGGTTACAAACGCTTCGAGAACACGGATGGCGGCAGGCATGCACAGAACCGCCGTGAGAGTCCCAGTCGGACACTCCAGCTCCACACTGACTTCCTGTTTGATCATCTGTCTGTCTGCCAGGCACTCTAACTTTCTTTTGCTCGTTTTCGTATCACCAGCACCAACCACAATGTCTGAAATTTGTGAATGACTGGGAGGCTCCATGGTGGAACCAGATCATCCTGAAATCTTTGGGTCCTCCCGGACTAGAATGGTCTAGACGTCAGGTCTAGATCACCGTGGGGCTGTGGGGGTAGGGAGGTGGGGATTAGGGACAACAGTGCCAAGGGCTGAGCCTTGAAATGTAAGGTAAGGTCAGCTCAGGAAGAGCCTGTACCCAGTACATGAAAACCCAAAGATAACTCACCTCACAATAACTTGGTTTCAGATACAATGTGCCTGCAATTGGCTCCCATCCTCCGCCCATCTCCTGTTCTCAAATATTTTAGCTTCTACAGAAGAAAGAAAACGTAGAGAGAAAGAGAAGCCAAGCAACTGAGGAAAGGGGAAGGCGGCTCCCTGTGTCCCCAGTATTCCCCAACGACAATACGCAAAGATCAGGCCAACATTCAACAATGAACACCAACTAGGGGATTCCTGGGATCATCGGTGCTTGTCCTAGAAGACCCAGAATTCTCTCCAATGATACTCAAGTCCAGAGCAGGCAACTTCCATGGGGTGGCACCCAACAGCAGCCAGGGCAGGGAGGTATCTGAGTCTCACAGAAGAATCCATAGAACTGCCAGCCAGTAAGATGGCCAGGTTTGCCTAGATCACTTCATTAATCTGAGGTAGCGTCAATCTGCATGGTGTGCGGCATAATTTTTTGGACCTCACTTACCGCATTATGGCAGGCTTTTACTGGACTAAGGAACTTGGGAATTATATGCTTCAGAAAATAGGCACCACACGGATTTAAAAACCTGTTTTATGAGCCAATTTTCATTTTAGAAAGACTACTCTGTCAGGAATATGGAAGAACCCGGCAGGACTTGGAGAGTTCCATAGGGAAGAATTAAAATAATGGTGCAGAAGATACAGTGAGAGTCCGCACCCAGGCAGTGGTGGTGGCGATTCAGAAGAGGGGACAAATGTAAGAGGCCTTGAGAGACCAGGGGACAGCCGAACAACCAGAGGTGAGACTGGGGATAGGTGTGTAGGCACACAAGACAGTGTGGTCACCGAAGAGAGGAGTCAATGGGGAGAAGCAGGTCTGGATGCAGGAGGACGGACATACTGAGTTTGACATCCGGAAGGAATCTATCAAAAATAACTTTAAAAAGGACATAGTTCAGAGGCAAACATAAAATTCAAAATTACAATTACAGAAGTACAATTCTGAGCACATTTACAAGGCAAGAGAATTATACTTTATCTCTGTTCTTTCGTAGTTTCTATTTTATTTTCAATTTCTTTAACATCGATGTGCAAGTACAACTTACTGGAAAGAAGTCACACGTCTTCTCTCCAAACAGTCTGTTGGCAGTTCTGAGCACGTACTGAGTGCCAGATTTGTTCACCTCCGTGAGAAGTGCCTGGAAACCTTGGTGAATATCTCCACTTCCGTTCAAACAAAGAGCCTGGTAAGAGAAAACAAGGGCACAAACTTGTAGCACTGCCGCCATCTTGGTCCCCCAAAGAGCAATCTCCACACAAACGCCTGCACTGAAAATCACAAAGGATCCTATCTTGAAAGGAGTTTGATTTAATCCTCACACAGTCCTTTTTCACCTGGGCACTACTGACTTTTGGGGCCAGATACTTGGTTGCTGTTCTGTGTAAGGTATTTTGCAGCATTTCTGGCCTCTACCCACTAGATGTCAGTAGCACCTCTCATTTAGGACAACCAAGCTGCCCAGACAGTGGTGAACATCCCCTGGAAGGCAAAATCGCCCCTAGGTGTGAACCACTGCCCTGGTAGATTTCTCCACTTAGAAACGTGGGTGTGATGGGGACCTAGGGGGCTCAGTCGGTTAACCCTCCGACTTTGGCTCCGGTCATGATCTCAAGGTTCGTGAATTTGAGCCCCACGTTGGACTCTATGCTGACAGCCCAGAGCCCGACGCGGGGCTTGAACTCACGGACCGCGAGATCGTGACCTGGCTGAAGTCGGACGCTTAACCGACTGCGCCACCCAGGCGCCCCAAGAAGAATTTTTTTAATAAAAAAAATAAATAAGAAAGGCAGGTATGATAACTCAGGAGGGAATCAGAACAGAACAAATAGATAGCTGGAATGAATCCAGCACGACCCAGGGAATACAAGAATGAGCAGAAATCAACAGAAAATACTTCATCAGCAACTTCACAGAAGTTCTCCAGACCAGACTGTGACTTCCAAGTCAAGTCGTTCCTCTGTCTCCCAAGGGCCCGGGTCCAAAGCCCCCCTCCTCCAGTGAGCACTTCCAGAGGTTCCCCGCGCACCCCTGCTATTAATGGGAAAGCGGTGTGCATTGGCAATGTTCTGGGACACTCACAAGGTTGTCGAAGAAACTTAAGGTACAAAGAGGTTAAAGACTATTCCCCTCAAGTGTTTGCCACTACTTGGTTTGCAGCTCAGATCCCACAGAACCCAGTTCAGACCAGATTCTATATTCCCTCTAAATAATTCCGGAGGTAGACATCCATGTTTGTGTTACTTTCATCTTGCACTTGTGCATGCACAATCATACACTTTTAGAAAGAACCCATGTAACAGAAAGTTGATTCACACGGCTACAATTCAATCTGATACAAAACATTAGAAAAAATTTAAAATATAACAAAGTTGAAATCCTCGGACTTCTTGTGGGACAGAATTATAGCTTATCCTACTTATCAAAGTTTGCTGTAACATATTGATGCCCCTATCCAGTGCAAATGACATAACGACTTGATTTCTCCTGTAAACACTAAGGGTAGACGGTGGGTCTTAAGTAATTCCCATTTCTGCCCATGTCTGCTCTCTTTCCCTCACCACGGTGCCCCTCGCCACCGACCAGCCACACTGGCGGCCATCCGCTGCGGTGAGGTATGAAGAAAGCATCAGGAAGCAAAGAAGCAGCCCGCCGCTCTTCCTTTGCAACAGGCAGGCATACCTGGGACATCTGGGTGGCAGTGTTTCCTTTGGCCCCCATGAAGACCATGGCCAGGGCAGACGAGATGCTCAGAGGGGAGCAGAACACGTTCCGCGAGCTGTCCTCTTGACCCAACATTTTTAATAAGTTGATGGCAAAACTGCCATTGGCTTCACAGAGATCATCCATCAGGAAAGGTCTGCACCAAAAAAAGCACAACACGGAGGCACATCAGCCCAGCCCACTGTTAGGTCATCTAGTCACGAGCGCCCGTCAGAGGCCACTGGGTGTGGTCAGCAGAATATCCGTGCCCCCACAGCCATCCACATGGTATCTCCCAGCTCTTCGTCATCTTCCATGGCATTAGGGACCTTGCAGATGTGATGGACTGAACCAAGGATCGTGAGATGGGGAGATTTCCTGCATTATCTGATGTAACTACAGGGCCCTTACAAGAGGAAGGCAGGAGGTGAGAGGCAGAGAAGGAGATGACACAAGAGAAGCAAAGGCCAGAAAGGACACAAGGCCACGGAGCATGGAATGCAGGCAGCCTGTAGGAGCTGCAAGAGGCCAGGAAACAATTCTGCCCTAGAGCCTCCAGGAAAACATGAAGCTCTGCGGACCGTTATTGATGTCATTTCTTATGTCTGTCTGTCTGTCTGTCTGTTTAGAGCGTGAAAGCACAAGCCAGGAGGGGCACAGAGGGGAGAGAGACTCCCAAGCAGGCTCCACGCTGTCAGCAAAGAGCCCAACGCGGACCCCATCTCACCAACCCGTGAGATCATGACCTGAGCCGAAGTCAGGACTCAGACACTCAACCGACTGAGTCACCCAGGCGCCCTTCTGTAGGCCTATTATGGACTTGTGACCTCTAGAGCTGTAAAATAATAAATTTTACTGTGTTCAGGCAGTAAATTTAGGGTAAGGCGTTACAGTATTAATAAGAAACTAATACCCTGGTTTATTCACAAAGCAGCCAATCGCTGAGGGTGAATGCCACCCTCAGCAACAGACCCACTGCAGGGGCTCAGAGTCCCTTTGGGACCTGACGACTCCCTCCCTTTGTGTCACAAAGGCCAACGCGTCTCAGTGCTAGGTTCTCAGGTTTTACGGGAATCTCTTAATCCCCACAACGATACCTGAGGTCACTACAGTTGACCCACCCTACAGACAGGGAGCCTGGGCGAGGACCATGAGCCTCTTCCAGATCCTACAGGCGGTCATCAAGCAATCTGGGTCGGAACCTGCGATCTCAACCCAGAGCCTGAATTCATCATTACACAAACCCCTCATTGCTTGCAAGTTCTCCCTCAGTTTGGTCTCTCCAGTAGAATCTATAAACAGTGTTCTGTTATAAATAAGTCTTGGTAGGAGCCTGGGAGGCTCCGTCAGTGAAGCCTTTGACTCTGGATTTCGGCTCAGGTCACGATCTCACAGTTTGTGAGTTCAAGCCCCGTGCAGGGCTTTGCGCTGACAGCATGGAGCCCTACTGGGATTCTCTCCTTCTCTCGCTGCCTCTCCCTC